CCTCCCTCCCTCCCTCTCTCTAAAAAGCAATGGAAAAAATATCCTCAGGTGCGGATAAATAAATAAAATCCTCTGTAACTGCCACAAGTAGGTTGACTTACAGATAATGTTGGATTAATTACAGACCCTGTGGCAGAGAACTGGGGATGTATTGGAGGAAGGCAGACATAGTTTCTGCTCTACAGAGTCAAGAACTAGTGGTGAGGGAAGAAAACGATCAGTGACAATTCAATGTAAAAAGTGAGGGCCAGGGATGCCCCCGTGGCTGGGGAGGAAGGCTTCCTGGAGGAGGAGTCAAGGAGCAGGATGGAGAGAATAAGAGAAAGGCGAGGGGAGAAGAGTGTCCCAGGTGAGGAAACTTGGCAGGGAGCGCAGGCTGCACGTGTCCTTGTCAGCTCCTCTCCCCTCTCCTGGAGCAGCTGACCCAGCGGCTGGACCTCCAGGGCAACATGCTGAAGGTGATCCCTCCGGCTGCCTTCCGGGACCTGCCTTACCTGACCCATCTGGACCTGCGGCACTGCCAGGTGGAGCTGGTGGCTGAGGGTGCCTTCCGCGGCCTGGGCCGCCTGCTGTCCCTCAACCTGGCCTCCAACCGCCTGAGCGCGCTGCCCCAGGAGGCCCTGGACGGGCTGGGCTCGCTGAGGCGGCTGGAGCTGGAGGGGAACACGCTGGAGGAGCTGCGGCCGGGGACGTTTGGGGCACTGGGCGCACTGGTCGCACTCAATCTGGCCCACAACGCCCTGGTCTACCTGCCCTCCATGGCCTTCCAGGGGCTGCTGCGCACCCGCTGGCTGCAGCTGTCTCACAATGCGCTCAGCGTGCTGGCCCCCGAGGCCCTGGCCGGCCTGCCGGCTCTGCGCCGGCTCAGCCTGCACCACAACGAGCTGCAGGCCCTGCCGGGCTCCGCCTTGTCCCAGGCCCGCGGCCTGGCCCGCCTGGAGCTNCCGCCTGGAGCTGGGCCACAACCCGTTCACCTACGCGGGGCAGGAGGACGGGCTGGCGCTGCCCGGCCTGCGGGAGCTGATGCTGGACCACGGGGCCCTGCAGGCCCTGGACCCCAGGGCCTTTGCCCACTGCCCGCGCCTGCACACCCTGGACCTGCGCGGGAACCAGCTGGACACGCTGCCGCCGCTGCAGGGCCCGGGGCAGCTGCGCCGGCTGCGGCTGCAGGGGAACCCGCTGT